GGGAAATACAAATCAAAACCACAATGAGATATCACCTCACACCTGTCAGAATGGCTAACATTAACAACTCAGGCAACAACAGGTGCTGGCAAGGATGCGGACAAAGAGGATCTCTTTTGCACTGCTGGTGGGAATGCAAACTGGTGCAGCCACTCTGGAAAACAGGATGGAGGTTCCTCAAAAAATTAAAAATAGAACTGCACTACAACCCAGCAATTGCACTACTAAGTATTTATCCAAGGGATACAGGGATGCTGTTTTGAAGGGGCACATGCACTCCAATGTTTATAGCAGCACTATCAACAATAGCCAAAGTATGGAAAGAGCCCAAATGTCCATCAGCGGATGAATGGATAAAGAAGATGTGGTGTGTGTGTGTGTGTGTGTGTGTGTGTGTATATGTATATGTATATACACATATATATACAAACACACACACATATATATATACACACACACATACATACATACGATGGAGTATTACTTGGCAATCAAAAAGAATGAAATCTTGCCACTTGCAACTATGTGGATGGAACTAGAGGGTATATGCTAAGCAAAATTAGAGAAAGAGAAATATCATTCCTAATATGAGGAATTTAAGATACAAAACAGATGAACATAAGGGAAGGGAAGCAAAAATAATATAAAAACAGGGAGGGGGACAATACATAAGAGACTCTTAAGTATGGAGAACAAACCGAGGGTTACTGGAGGGGTTGTGGGAGAGGGGATGGGCTAAATGGGTAAGGGGCACTAAGGAATCTACTCCGGAAATCATTGTTGCACTGTAAGCTAACTAACTTGGATGTAAATTAAACAAACAAATAAATAAATAAATACATTAAAAAAAAAAAAGAAAACAGGAGCTCAAACAAATGTTTGTACACCAATGTTCATAGCAGGATTATTCACAATAGACAGAGTATGGAGACAATCCAAGTGTCCATCACAGATGAATGGATACACAATATGTGGTATGGACATATAATTGAGTATTATTTGCTCATAAAAACGAGTGAAATTCAGTTACTTGCTAACACATGGGTGAACCTTGAAGACATTATACTAAATGAAATCAGCCAGGCACAAAAGCACCAATATTGTATGATTCCACCTGTGTGATGTATCTAAAGTAGGTAAATTAATAGAGACAGAAAGTATAATAGAAGTTACCAGGGGGCCAGGGGGATGGGAGAATGGAGAGTTATTGCTTAACAGGTAGAGAGTTCCTGTTTGAGAATATGGAAAATTTCTGGAAATAAATAGTGGCAATGTTTGTACAACATTGTGAATGTCCTTAATGCTCCTGAATTGTACACTTAAAATGCTTAAAATGGAAATTACATATATATACATACATATATATATATATATATATATACACACACACGTATATATATATGTGTGTGTGTGTGTATATATATATATACAAATGTATAACTTTATAATTATATATTCACCTTAAATTTTTTAAAATCTAAAAACAGCAATAACAAAATAAGGCTCAGGAAAGTCTTCTTTAGCAGAGACCTGAGACTGAGGGAAAATGTTTGAAACCATAGCTGTCTGCTGAAGGAAGCCATCCAGATTCCAAAGAAATCTCTCCTCTCTGGTAGTGTGTGTGCATCAGGAGTAGATAGTGAGGGTTACATCTGGTCTGAGAAAGAGCTCTGAGAGGTGTGAGCATTGATGCTTCCCTCCAGGTTAGGATCTGTTGGATGTTCTGATCACAAAGTTATGCCTGCCAATCCTGCTTGGAAGGGGGACATCTCTTTACAGGGAACATGGACCTTTTTTTCCAGGAGTTGTTCCATGTCAGGAATTCTGGGTTTGTCCTTCCTCCACACCTGCTATTAAAGAGGCTTCAGTAAATCTGCACTGGGTGCCTGGCTGATTGAATGATGGGTAGGTTAACATGACTGAATGAAGGGATGCAGATAGCTGTTGCAGCCCCCTCATGTATTTTCAGGAATTCTCACCTGGGAATCAGAGGACGTCTCCTCCTTGAAGGAGCACCATGTCTCTGAATCCTGCCCCACATGTGTGGAAGAGGAGTCAGTGTATGTGAAGATGGGTGTCTGGTTTGGGGTTTGGGAGGATCCCATCATCCCTCAAAAGGCCTACTGACCTGCCCAGCACCATGCCAGTGTTGGCTTTGGCATTGCTGGGACACCAATAAACTTTTCAGGTTCTCAGAGCAACAATCCAGGAATTTATAGGTCAACACATCCCTTAAGGAAGGGGCTAGTGACATGTAGGCAGAGGCTGAATACCTCTGCCGGATAGGAGACAAGGTGAGTGCAGATTGTTCACTTTCTCTGTACTATCTAAAATGGACACTATTCTAAGTTAATAACATCTCATTTTAAATATTCACTTCCTTTTTAAAAAGGTAATGTGCTTTTACTGGCCGGACCATCACTTTCAACCACTTCATTTAAATCATTCATTAGTATCAAGAAATGCCATAGTAAATTCCTCACATTCAATACGTATTTCTTTGGTGGCCATGACTTATGCTTCCTCAAGAAGCCAGCTCCTAAATGTAGCCAATTACCCAGCTAACTTACAGGCCCAGCTATAATATAATCAAATTTTTTTCCACATGTGCTATTATTGGGCCTAGAAAAAATAAGCAGTTCTAAATTCTGGACTTGTCTTTTGGATTAGGGTGAATTATACAATTTAGAGGGTTCTGTAGCCTTATAACATGCAAAGAATTCTCAATCATTTTTATATAGACTATCTAGTTCTTGCATTATTCTAACCGGTTTTATTGAAACCAGCCTTTCCCCCCTTACCTTGTTTACATCTAGACAGTGTAATAAAAGCAAATTCAACAACTGTCTAAATGAGGTATAAATAATGTAGATAAGTAAGCCAACCAGTGTATTTTAATAATATTTTTCAAGTGTAAACATCCAGTAATTTTGATAAAAGTAAAAACAAAAACATTGCATTGAAACTTGCATTCTTTTTGGAAAGACCTGATAATAGTCGTCCAGTTATTAGAAACACTATAATGCAAGCTAATCATTTTTATTACGGCTCGGTCAGAAGTCAGAACTCCTTGCTACTTCAGAGATCACCTAACGTATCTGCTTTCTGTCCCTTGCGCCCTCTTCAAACTTTACTTGGCTCTAGAGAATATCCTGCATGTAAAGAATGTTCTCTCTATTTTAGAAGTGCCAGTGAACTGCTCATTGTAGTTTGTACATGTGCTAATGCTATTTGTTTTCTGTATTGTAAATAAAGTCCTGTTAGGGAGGAAAAATAGAAGCAATTGGGTGTTGTTGTGTTTGGCTTATAAATAAATGTATTTAACAAAAAATAAAAAATAAATAAAAGGGTAATGTGCTAGGGGTGGCTGAGTGGCTCAGTCGGTTAAGCTTCCGACTTCAGCTCAGGTCACGATCTCACAGCTCATGAGTCCAAGCCCCGCGTTGGGCTCTGTGCTGACAGCTCCGAGCCTGGAGCCTGCTTCTGATTCTGTGTCTCCCTCTGTCTGCCCCTCCGCCGCTTGCACTCTCTCATGTTGTCTCAAAAATAAACATTAAAAAAAAATTTAAAAAGGTAATGTGCTTAGCTGACCTAGTGAATCAGAACAAAAATGAGTAAAGAAAAATTTAATAGTCTTGCTACACCCTTTCTGTCATCCAGGTGTGCATTCCTCCTCTCTCTCCATGCCTGTAAAAACATAAATGCACATACAGAGGTTTTTGTTTTTACTGCTTTTACAGAAATTGGAATCTTTCTCTATAGTATACTTTTCTTACCTTGATTGGGAAGCATTGGTTCTGGTGAATTAAAAAGTTTAGTATTTACACAAGTCTCTTTATATATGAAACTGAAACATTGAATTTAAGGCTGAAGTTATATTTGATATTTCTTTGTTCCCTACCTCCTTAAAGATAACCTTTTTAGTTCTTTTATTGTGCATTTACAAGCATGTCTATGTACCTATAGAAATTAGGTAGTGTTGATTGTGTTAAAAGAAATTATTTTTAAATAAATGAGATCATAGTGTGGAAAAAAAAAAGAAAGGGACTGGTGACAAGAACTCATTTTGAATAAGTAAATTTGATGTTAATTTTTGGGGTTCTTAAGCACGTATGCCATCAGGTGAGCAGACCAACCACCAATGTACCAATGCCCTTGATAAAGGACTCAGAATATATACAAAATGAATGAAATTTGTGAGGATTCTTTCCATGGCTTTGCAAAATAAACCTAGACAGAGTAACAAAAGTAGAAGGGAAAAGTAGAAGCCTGAAAACTTTAAAAAGGAGAGAGAGATTCATGTATTTTTAAATATATAACCGGGGCGCCTGGGTGGCGCAGTCAGTTAAGTGTCCGACTTCAGCCAGGTCACGATCTCGCTGTCCGTGAGTTCGAGCCCCGCGTCAGGCTCTGGGCTGATGGCTCAGAGCCTGGAGCCTGTTTCCGATTCTGTGTCTCCCTCTCTCTCTGCCCCTCCCCCGTTCATGCTCTGTCTCTCTCTGTCCCAAAAATAAATAAACGTTGAAAAAAAAAATTAAAAAAAAATAAATATATAACCATGAGAAATTAGGAACAGCTTATAAAGAGCTTTCTGACATTTAGAAACCTGTTCTGCTTTATTTTTGCCCCCGCAGACTTCACCATATACAAATCTATGGGTCCTCTTGGGGAAGTCTCAGGGGTGGGTCAGAATGACAACAGGAGCAAGAAGGAAAATAGTGGCGCTAAATATCATGAGATTTGGGGCAAAGTTTCTAGCTGCGTATCTTTTAGTGGGAAATATTTACTGCTCAAGACATCTAAGGCAATCACAGTTTTTCAGCAATGATTTTAGGGGTTGGGATTTCCCTTCCCAAGGCTAGGTATAGAGTATAATTTCAAAATTTCCATTGAGTATAGCATTTATTAACTGTATCTCTAGACTGCTTTAGGTATTTACAGAGAAAAATATGTCAATCCTCCACTGCTGATATTAACATGCCTTTTGTACTTCACTTGAGATGAAATTCTACAGCAAGTGTTTTCCAGTGTTCCATATGAGGAAACAAGAACAGCAGGCAAATCAGTTACAGAGAGAGACAAGAGAGAAGGCAAGTATATGTCTCTAGAATTATAAGTGCACGTATTTCTATAGGCCTATGTATTGAATTATATATACAGCACTCTCATTTTAGTATTTGTCAAAATGGCTACCTGTGTGGCATAGACAAATTGAGATATGAAGGAAAGATTGTCTGAAAACCTATCACCTTCAAGTCTATGGCTAAAATGTGTCTATTCTGTTTTGTGGGGAGGGGATCCTTGAAATTCATGTGTCAAGGAGGTTCTCCCTTTCTGGAGACTGTTCAAAGGACAGGAACTGGAATTACAAGTGGCGGTTACTGTTCCTGACCACAGGAGCCCTGAGAAGTGTAATAACTTTGTACTGAACACACTTTATAGTTCCACGTGCATGATCTGGTTTGATACTTTGCTTAGCCCTTGGGGAGAACTAGTGCAATCATTAGCGTACCATTCAATGGGTAAGACCCAGGCTAAAGAATCACTTGCCCTAGGCACACCGGTGGAAATAATGAAAATGAAAAATACACTCTTCCGCAAAGCGGCTTTATATTATTATTTTTTAAGTAGCAGTTTAAGAATTAAGACAATTATTTGATCATAGGTCATAAGGATAGAATTTTATATCAGACTTACCTACAGGCAGCATTTGTGTACCAGCAGTAACAAAAGTGCCCTGGGCAGCAGAGAAATGAGCACTGTGTTGGAATTTTGCATACAGATGTGAATTCTAATTCCCAAGGTTTGTTTCCCATAACATCTGCCTGGGCTCCAGCCTCTGCAGTCAGCAACTAGCTGATGCCTGTCTGCATTGATGTATAAACTTTCAAATACACATTCTCAGTGTGGTTGGATCCTATATTAGCATTTCAACACTTAAAATATGGACCCAAAATGCTCATAATGTGTGCTTATATAAATTTTTCTCTTCAATTTTTTTCCCCCATGGATTTCATCAAAGGAGCCAGTGTTGCTGGGTATTCTACTGAACCAAGATTTCTCCTTGGCAGCATGGATAGAGTGTCCACTAAAGGTAATGCAAATGGATATCATTGGAGTTGGGTTATAAGTAATACCTCTTCTTCCTTTGCCTGAGTTTAGAACCAAATGTGAGACTGAGCTAAGGATCCTACAGATGGAGCTCAGACTATCTTCTCAGGAAAACTTGGCTGGATAACATGGGTGCTTCACTTCGAATTAGGATGAGTGCCTAATCACTGGTGAGGGTTAGGATGCCCATGGTTCCCCCATAGCCCACCATGAGAGAGTTTACTTCTGTAACATTCACAGCATAGAGGAGAAGATCAGAATGTTTGTTGTCTGCAGGCAGACAGATGCCAGAGAGAGAGAGAGAGAGACAGAGAGAGACAGAGAGAGAAAGTGAGAGAGAGGGAGAGAGAGGAAGGAACTGACCGTAGGAACCTGATTCCTCCTCCCAAACTTAACAGTGAAGTCCCTTGTTCCCCCTGGATGTGGGGACTGGTGAGGGACTGAGCACATTCCTGAAGTGATACCCCAGAGTAGTTCTCTTCATCCCCGCCATGGGAAGTGTGGGAAAATGCTCCCCTTCAGCTGATGAGCAAAGGCTCATCTCACAGACCTGGTTATGGTGGGAGCAGACCAGCTCCCAAGACAGGAAGAACTATCATCTAATGAAGCATTTTTTCTCTAGACAGATTTAAAGATTTAAGAGGAAAAATAGGCTATGTCACTGTCCAAGCTGGCAAATATGTGGTCTTTCCTGGGCATAGGAATATGAACTAGGTCAGTGTTTCTCAACACTGACCATGAATCAACCATGGAGAGGAGGTTGAGACCTGTGAAGAGATTATAAACCCTTATTTCTGGAATCCACCAGGAGTTTCTAAAAGTGGAGTCCAGGGTTCTGCACATTTTTGCATATTGTACCAGTGACTTGCCTACAGGCAGCATTTGGAACCAATGACCTAGATGGGTTTTGGAGATTAATTTACCACAGAATTCTCTTTATTTATTTTTTTTAAGTTTATTTATTTTGAGAGACTGGGGGGGGGGTTGCAGGGAGGGGCAGAGAGAGAGAGAGAGAGAGAGAGAGGAGAGAGAGAATCCCAGCCAGGCTCCAGTGGAGCCTGATGTGGGGCTCGAACTCACGAACTGTAAGACATGACCTGAGCTGAAATCAAGAGTCAGATGCTTAACCTATTGAGCCACCCAGGCACCCCCACAGAATTCTCTTTAAAATGAACACTTATAATATTCCTGAATCTTAATTTCGTGAAATCATAAATTAAATACAGTCGAGCATCTCTTTGGTACCTGGGTCTACACTGGGAGAAGTGAAAGGCTGACTTTATACTGAGAACCACACATGGGCTACAATGATTTCATCAATACAGTCCACATCATGTCATTTTTTCACTAAAAATGATGACATCATTTATTAAAAAGTCCACTTTTGCTCCAGTGATCTGAGACACCCTCTTTATCTTATACTAAATTCCCGTATGTCCTGGGTCTATGCCTGGATTTTCTATCCTAACCACTGGCCTACTGGCTACTATACAACAGTACTGTACTGTTTTCATTACAGAGGCTGGAATAGTATGTTTTAATGCCTTATGGGACTAGTCCCTATTTTGTAGTTTTTGTTTTTTCGGTGTTTTCCTGGTGACTTTTGCATGTTTGTTTTGCACATGAATTTTAGTATCAACTTGTGTAACTTCATTAGGGCCTGTTGATATTTTTATTAGCATTGTATTAAATTTATAATATAATATTCACATTGGGAAAACTGATGGTAGGTCATTCTGTGTTGGAAATGGGAATGTCTTTCCATTTCTTCAAGTTACTTTTGGCTCTTTCAGTATGTGATTTTTCTCCCTAATAGGAGCTTGACTCAGTGTTTGGCCACCTTCTAAGTACAAAATGGATTTATTTTCCTGTATCTTCCCAGACCCCCAAGGTATATAATGGCCAGTCTACACTAAGTTTGGAGGCCTTTCCTTTTATTTTTTTAAGTTTATTTATTTATTTGGAGAGACAGAGAGCACACACTGGGGGTGGGTCGCAGAGAGAGGGAGAGAGGGAGAATCCCAAGCAGGCTCTGCACTGTCAGCACTGAGCCTGATCCAGGACCTGAACCTAGAAACCATGAGATCTTGACCTGGGCAGAAACCAAGAGTTGGATGCCCAACTGACTGAGCCACCCATGTGCCCCTCCTTTTTTTTTTTTTTTTTTTAATGTATATATACACAGAGGATCACATTATAAATTGATCATTACACTCATCTAGATAATCCATGATGTTGGGTTCCTAGGAGCCTCACAATTAGAAGAAACGTGTAGATTAGAAAACTTCCCTTGGGACTATAATGTCAGGTTGAATAATTTGAATATACTGTTTCTTTGTAGATCAAAAATAGTTAAATATTGGGATACCTGGGTGGCTCAGTTGGTTGAGTGTATGACTCTTAGTTTTGACTCAGGTCATGATCTCACAGTTTGTGAGTTTGAGTTTGAACCCCACATTGGGCTCTGCACTGATAGCATGGAGCCTACTTGGGATTCTCTCTCTCCCTCTCTCTCTGCCTCTCTCTCTCTCTCTCTCTCAAAATAAAATAAACTTTAAAAAATATTTTTAAAAATGGTCAAATATCTCCAATTTCATATGGTTCAATCATTTAGGGGTCTCTGCTTAATGGTGTGGGTCATAAACCTGAGTCCAGGCTTCCTGCAGAGTGTAGATGCCTTTGTAAGGATGTCACTTCTCTCCATCCACAAAACCGGAGGCAGCTGATTAAAAAGTCCTTATGTTTATGTGGACATAAGCAAATGTTTCCTTTGTTCAGCTGTCTTCTTTGGAATTTCATTTCTTACTGTGGTTTTAAAATAGGTCCTCAAATTCTTTGATAGCCTTCCCTTTGAAAGGTGGGGCTTAATCCCCCACCCCTTGTGTGTGGGCAGGCTGGACTTAATGACTTGCTTCTAATGAGTAGAACGTGACAGAAATGATGGTGTGCTACTTCATAGATTAGGTCATAAAAGACATTGTGGTTTCTGCCCGGCTATCTCTTGAATTGCTCACTCTGGGGAAAGTCAGTTGCCATGTTGTGAGGACATTCCAGCAGTGTCCACTCACTTAAGGAGAGGCCCTTGTGGTGAGAAACTGAGCCCTCCTGCCCACAGCCAGTGAGGAGGTGAGGCCTCACTCAGCTGTGAGTGAGCCATCTTGGAAGCAGACCCTTTGGTGCCAGTCAGTCGTCAAATGACTGCAATCTTGGATGACAGATCAGGCTTAGCTGGGTGGTTCTGGCTCAGAGTCTCTCATGAAGTTGTAGTCAAGAGTCTTCAAGATTCCTTCTCTCACTCAAGACCTAGTTATTGATCCCCTACCCAGTGAGAGATGCTGTGCCAGGAGTAGAGAGTTGAAAAAGGCATTTGTGTTCTCCAAGTGCTCAGCACTAATAGGAAGTCAGTGTCATCAGTACTTATTAGCTATAAATATACTAAAATGGAAAGTACTTAAAAAGTGCTTCAGGTTGTATTTGCATGGAGCTTTGGGATGACAAAAGAGAGGCAAATCTGCTTACTAAGGTTTTTGAGTAGAGAGAGTGAATTGAGAAGAGACTCAAGAAACCCCTGCAGACATAGTGAAGGTCCCATCACACCAGAAAAGGAGGCTGACGAGGCCCCTTTTCAGAGGCCAGGAGCTGCTCTGATGCTATTCTGCTGGACTAAGAAATCCAGACCACACAAATTTTCCTTAGCAAAAGGGACCATTCCCCCTAAAAATTAATGGTAAAAAGGGTTGGGTAGGAAGAGGGGTGAAGAAATGATTTTTTTGAGAAGTAAAGTCTTGTAAAAAGTGTGCACAGGTGTGCAGCAAGTTCCAGCTACCATGGATGTTAGCTCTGCTGAAAGGAACCTAGTTCTTGGTTAGCAGTGCAACACTAAGATGCTATTAATAGAACCAATCAAAGTCTCATTTCAATGCTAGGAGAGAGAGGGGGAGAGAGAGAGAGAGCGAGAGCGAGAGCGCGCGCGCGCGCGAGAGAGAGATTATAATTTAAGACTTCAACTTTTCCCTGAACGCAAAGCCAAAATTTCTTGGTTCTGGGCTCATCGAACACAACTTTACCAGGCCCAGGATGTGACTGATTGGCACTGGGATTCAGTCTGCATCATGGATGTGGGGATTTGCTTTCTCCCATAATGGGCTGCTGTTTCTCTCATAGTTAATGGCTTTCTACAGTTGAAATGAAGTTTGGAAACTGACTGTATTTGACAAAACATGGTGATTGTGCTTATTTTGTCCTGCAGAAAAAAAAATCCAACAAATGATCAAAATCACAACCCATATTGATGATAAGTGTAGACAGTGGTACTTAATTATGGTTTTGTTTTTTGTGGAACAGAGACAAGGAAAGTAAAAATTTGTGTTTAAGTGATAAGTCTATCTTTTTGACACCTTTATGAAAGAGCAAAAGGCGAATTCAATCCATTCAATCACTAACTCTATATTGTCCAGAGTTTTCTGTGTATCTTTGGTTGTTTATCTCTTGACTCTGATTTGACAGCCTAACATTTCCAAAGTCAAGTAATTATGACTCATGTTAAGTTGGGAACTTTTTCTCTTTTCTAAGCCAGATTGAATAAGGAACACATTTCTCTCTTTCCCCAGAAATAATTAAGACCTCAATAGGCTGTTACCACACATCCTGCCAGTGTTAACCACTTTGCCTCATTCCCACCTCTTTGAGAACTAGGCTAAGGCAGATTCACCAATCTCAAGTCAAAAATGCCTCTCAGGTCAAAGGCATCTGGGCCTGGGAGGCCCCAGCCTTGAAGACTTCTGGGGACAACAGGGTTTGTTACTTCTCACTCTTCCTCATTCCCTTTTTAATAGCCCTACTTTCTAAGTGCTAAACTGTTAGTCTCCATGTGTCTCTGGAGCTCCTACCCATTGGTTCTGCCTTGCTCCTGGAACCTCTCAGAACATCTCCTAACCCCTTTCCAGGGCCATTCTTGTGTTGGGCAAAGACAGCTCTCCCAGTTTCCTAGTCCTCTCCATGCTAAACTCACTCAGGCCCTTTGACAAGGTCTCATATGCAAATGAGTCAAAGATAGCCAACGGTAGAGTTAGCATGCTAATATTTCTGATTTTCAATGCTGCGTGTTTCTACTAAACTTTTCTGCAGCCCGTCTCCCAATAAATGCATATTTCAGTGTAGTTCATTTTTCTGTCTTGCCCTTGCAATTTAAGAAACATTTTTATAATATTTGGTCGTTTATAAACTGTTTCCATGAGCATTATGCTATCTGTGAGGTAGGTCTTATTATTTCTATCTTATGCTAGTGGGAAACTTGAGTCAGAGGGGTCAGCAACTGACTGAAAGATTTTCTCGAGGTTCTCTAAGGTGGTCCCTGACCAGCGGCATCAGTGTTACTTTGGGCGGGGCGGGGGGGGGGGGGGTGGTGTCTGTGAGAAATTCACATTCTCAGGCCTCCTCAGACTTACTGATTCAGAAACTCAAGGGTGGGACCCAATGATTGATCTTTTAAGGTCTCCTGGTGATTTGGATGCACTCATGTGTGAGAACCATGGCCTCAGTCTACGGGTGGGTCACCCAGGAATTTGTCAGATTTAAAAAATAATAACAAAACACTGATATACGTTTGGACTTTTCTCCAAAATTCTTCCTAACTCCTCACTTTGATTCTAGAGGAAGTTATTTTATTTAGTTAGTTTTATTTATTTTTGAGAGAGAGAGAGAGAGAGAACAAGCCTGGGACAGGGGCAGAGGGAGAGAGAGAATCCCAAGCAGGCTCCACACCCAGTGTAGAGACTGATGTGGAACTCGATCCCACAACCCTGGGATCATGACCTGAGCCAAAATCAAGAATCAGACTCTCAACTGACTGAGCCTCTAGCAGAAGTTGTTTTTATCATAAAAATAGAACTAATCAGGGGAACCTGGCTGGCTCAGTCAGTAGAGCACGAAGGTCTTGATATCAGGGTTGTGAGTTTGAGCCCCATGTTGAGCATGAAGATTACCTAAAAATAAAATCTTAGGAGGGTGCCTGGGTGGCTCAGTCAGTTGAGTGTCCAACTCTTGATTTTGGCTCATGTCATGATCCCAGGGTCGTGGTATTGAGCCCCACATTGAGCTGTATGCTGAGCATGGAGCCTGCTTAAGATTGTCTCTCTCTTTCTGCTCCTCTTCCCTGCTCACATTCTCTCTCTCTCTCTCTAAAATAAATCAAATCAAATCAAATCAAATCTTAGGGGCACCTGAATGTCTCAGTTGGTTAAGTGTCTGACTCTTGATCTCAACTCAGGTCTTGATCTCAGGGTCATGAGTTCAAGCCCCACGCTGGGCTCCATTCCATGCTGAGTGTGAAACCTACTTTAAAAACATAGAAAAATAAAAAATTAAAATCTTTTTTTTAATTAAAAAAATTTTTAACGTTTATTTATTTTTGAGAGACAGAGAGAGACAGAGCACAAGCAGGGGAGGGTCAGAGAGAGACACAGAATCTGAAGCAAGCTCCAGGCTCTGAGCTGTCAGCACAGAGCCTGATGCGGGGCTCAAACCCACGAACTGTGAGATCATGACCTGAGCCAAAGTCGGCCACTTAACCAACTGAGCCACCCAGGCGCCCCCAAAACAATATCTTAAAAAAATAGAACTAATCACAAGCCATTGGCTATTTTTAGATGAACACATTTTGTTTTTTGTCCTTCTGTAGGTCACGTTTCAGAGAAGAGGAATAGAAAGTCCTTTCTATTCAGCAGGGATATAAATGAGCAATTTAGTACTGAAGATAATGAAACACTTCGAGAAGCAGTGAGGACAGGTAATAATCTATATGGTGTAAGCTAAATAAGATACTTAAATACGATAACTTCAGAATGCATCTGTTTGCCTTTCATGGTATTTTAACAGAGTAGATGTCAGCATACCTTTAATTTTCCCAGAAAAGCATACAATCTGCCATGAAAAAATATGAATTAAACTAACTCTGGGAATTTTACCACCCTTGCAAGAAGATGCTACTTTTATGTTGCTCATTTGTAACATGGGCATCGTCTTCTGAGCCTCTGCCATTACTGCACATAGAGGCTTTCTAACAAGCAGGAGGGATGAAAACCAAATATTAACCTAGTCCCTAATATTCAGCCTTGGATAACCTGGGCCCATTCAGTACAGGTAGAAACTTGCCTGTATGACAATTGCAGGTACCAAGCCCACACTCCCTCCATGTAGCTTCCTGTTATCAAAAGTATACCTGGTTGTCACTTTCTAACTCGAAGAAATTAAATGCTGACTTATTCCAGCAGAGCCCTTAGAGTTCCTTGGTGGTGCTGCCTCTTGCTGCAGGATACACGGACGTGGGAAGTTGGACATTTCCAATTTTCTCCCCATAACCCAAGATGGCCCTTGACCAGCATCTCCCTGCCTGCATTGCTGGGCCCCCCTCAGTGGTTCTCCACACTAAACCATCCCGGTCCTGTCATGGAGCCTCAGTACCCCATTTCCTGATTCCATTTTTGGTCACGTTACAAATGGAGTGGAGGAGCTTTAGGAGTCCCTGATGTCAGCGATGGTCTCAGCTAAGATTGCCTTGTGCTTCCAAACCCACACTCAGTGGCATTCTGAATCTACCTTCAAGATTTATGCAAGTCCCTAGATGCCATAAGAGGTCAAGATCATCTCTGGCATCATGTTTACCTTGTGCATGAAATTCCCCCAAACGTACTCACATGAGGTGGATTATATATATGGGAGAACTTCCTGAAGGTGGGAGGGTAGGGCAATGGGGGGCAACTTCAAACTGAATATTTGACTCCATTGTTCTTAACGGCCATCACAGTAGAACTTTCCATCCCTTCCATCTGACCTCTCCTCTATTACTCTCACCTCCTGAAATCTGTGCTTAGTCATTCCTTCTTTTTGGTTGCTTTGCTGCTTGCCAGCTCATAGCCTCGGCATCTCACCTCCACCACCAAACAGCATCTCATGTCACTGGCAAGAAGCTTATGAGTGTATTTTCCTAAACAAAGCCAGCTTCTTCCCCAAGAGGACTTCTGGAGCCAGCAGCTTAAGTTGCTAAGGTTTTCATTTCTGCTAAAAGCAGAACTAACAAGTTGTCCCTGCAGTTCTGTATGGGGTTGTCTCTTTCTGTTTACTCTGCCATTTGTCTTTTCATTTAGATACACAAAATAAGGATGTACCATGTGTGCAGCTTCTGGACTTCCTCCAGAGGAACATCATCATTGCTGCTGCCTTGGTGGCGGGAATCCTCGTGGTCACAGTGTTGTTGTTACTGGTGTTGACTGCATACATCAGTAGGAAAAAGCCATTGTGAGTGGCTCTTCAGTCCCACCTTCCTACCCATGAAGAACTCATGGGTATTTGTATGAGGTTGCCCCAGATCTTCCTGCTGATCCTGGAGTTAGGAGGAAGGCAGGGACTCCTAAGCCTGGTTGTGTATTCATAGAATGCAGACGACCCAGGCTGTCAGTTTTTAACACTGCCTTGGTGGTTCTGATGCACAGCTAAGTATTGCAATTCCTGGCTTGGACCACGCTTACCTCTAAAGACTCCTGTAGGTTAGGCCACACCTACTGAGGAAATGGTACAAAGACTGGCTGAACGACTGGAAAATAGGCATATGAAGGCAGAGAGGGATGAAGCCATGGAGGAGATGAGCACAGGGCTGATACTTGGCTGTTACATTGGTGTTAGAATATTGAAAGATCCCTCTATTGGTTGGTAAACAGCACCTTCCCAGAACCTCCCACAGACTTTCCAGTCTTTCCCATGATCCTGCAAATGAAGGGTTAATGTCTGGCCCAGCAGTGGCCCTCCAGGGCTCCATTCTGATGGTGGCCACTTTGACTGTGGCTGTCTGTACTACTTGTTAAAAATGTCTATTATCCCTTGGATGAGAGGATTCCAGCACAGTGGCCGTAACCCTGAGTAGGCATGAGACAGTAAATGGCTTATAAGATTATGCATTTTCAGTAACTGCATGTTGAAATTTTGTGTGTTCATCTGCATCCCTTGAGACACACTTCTTCATCACAGGGAAAACAGCTTCCCAAGACCTCTCAGGTCCTGCCTAACACTGTGTTGTGTGTGCAGCTTGACCACAGAGAAAGGGGGCTGTGGCATGCCATGGAGGGTGAAGTTTCCATCCCTCTGCCCACGCCTTCCCCCTAACTCTGAGTCTGTGGTACTTAAATTTACCCACAAGAGTGACATTGCTTTCCTTAAAGGGGTTCTTTTAAGTTTATTTGTTTGGAGGGAGGGAGGGAGGGAGGGAGAAAGAGAGAGAGAGAGAGAGAGAGAGAGAGAGAGAGAGAGAGAGAGAGAACATGAGTTGGGTAGGGGCAGAGAGAGGGGGGAGAGAATTCCAAGCAGACTCTGTGCTATCAGCACAGAACCTGATGGGGGGTTTGAACTCACGAACCATGAGATCAGGACCTGAGCTGAAATCAAGAGCTGGAGGCTTAACCAACTGAACCACTCAGGCACCCCTAAAGGGGTTCTTTTAAAAGCCAACATTCTTGGGACTGGCAAACCATTTAGGCTAGCCACTATCACCTCACATCCAGATTTCTCCTCTGAGACAGGAGTGGGTCCCCTGAAGTGAAAGGGGGGCCTGGAATGTGGCAGAAGTTAGAGATGGAAGATTTAAAGAGCTTCTGGAAATGAGGTTGACCCATCTCACAATTCTGACTGGGGCTTGGATTTGTCCATCGGATTTGTCATTTCCCTTCTGTGCCTCTTGGAGGTATAGGAAGAAGTGGTCAAGACTGTGGCTCCATCCCATAAAGGTGAATTAAAGCTGTCAAGAGCCTGTGTTAGTTATCAGAAAGTGAAGGGAAAGGAATTTCCCAGAGGCTTTCTGGGTGTCCAGAGACAAAATGAATTTCACACATGAGTAGATTTCCTTTTTTTTTTTTTAAGTTTATTTCGAGAGAGAGAGGGAAAAGGAGAGAGAGAGCGAGAGAGAGAGAGAGAGAGAGAGAGACAGAGAGAGAGAGAGAGAGAGAGAGACCACAAGCAGGGGAGGGGCAGACAGAGAGGGAGAGAGAGAGTCCCAAGCAGGCTCTGCACTGTCAGCACAGAGCCCAATGCAGAGCTTGATCTCATGAACCCTGAGATCATGACCTGAGCTGAAATCAGTAGTCAGACACTTAATCGACTGAGCCCCCAGGCACCCCAAGCCTTTCTGAAAGAGAAGTAGAATCCCCACCCTGCAGAAACATCAGCCTCTACCACCACCCAATGAGCTGACAGTAGGAATTCCTACTCATGTAATCGTGCAATAAGGTTTTCTGCATTTTGTTTTAGATATCCTCCAGCAAACATGACATATAATATTTTTATACTGAATGGGAAGACTTGGTGGCAAAAGTATCAAGAAAAGAACCCCAGAAAACAAAAGGGAAAACAGAAACAGTTGAAGTCCAAGTCCTGCGTCTAAGCCAAGTGGTGGGGCCACCAAACCAGGACTTAACGCTGCAATGCCAGGCAGTTCTCAATCCCAACACCATGGAGAGGCATTTGGATTTCTGGCTGTGAGATGTGCTCTGCAAAATGTTTACCTTCTCATCTCAATTTCGAACGGACCAAGAAACAAATGTTCACCACAGGATGCTCACAGGGTGGTATGGCACTAATGGCTAGTGTGGGAGACTTAGCACATTTGCCCAAAGACAAACCCTTTCAAGCTATGGATGTATTTATTTATTAAAGCAATGATTCTCGGATTCAGCCATTCATTGAACAGATATTAATTGAACACCAAATACATAGACAATATCAAAATACATGAGGCGAGCGAAGATATTGGAAGCAGGCCCGGTCCTCGCCGGCTTCTGAAGACAGGGCAGGCAGCCGGCTGAAGCTCTTCGGTAGTGGATTGAGGCCTCTACACTCTGATTGCTAACGGGGTCCAGGGGGGAGAGGGGTGGAGGGGGCGGCACCTGGTGTTGCAGGAGTGAGGCTGCCAGTGTAGCTCAGGCAACCTATGCTGGCAGGCGAGGTCAGGAGAGAGGGGATGATCTCATGGTTCGTGGGTTTGAGACCCACATCAATCTCTATGCTGACAGCATGGAGCCTCTCTCTCTTCCTCTCTGTCTGCTTCTCCCCTGCTCTTGCTCTCTCTCCCTCAAAAAACAAAAACAAAAACAAAAACAAAAACAAAAACAAAAAACCCTTAAAAAAAATGCCGCAAACAAAAAGCATGCTATTCTTTCTTTGAACCAAACTCTTCCAAGCTCTGAGAACTTGGACTTGGGCCATTGACTATAGGAAGGGACCCTTCTAAACACAGACTGTGAGAGATGCCTGCTCATGTCAGGTTTGGTGGGGGGCAGCTGATGGGGCTGTCTGAGGGCACATGTAGCTCAGATTCCCAAAGGTGGCTGCCGGTCCTGTGTGGGCAAGGAGTCCTGGGGCTCTGAGAGCCCTGGGCCTGTCTTGTGCTGGCAGGGCAACATCCTCCCAAGCCCCCAACAGTGTCACCACTGAGCACGGAGGGAGGGAGGGAGGGGCTTCACAGCTCCAGATACTTTCCACACATGGTCCCCTGGGAAGCTGGGCCCAGCTGGACTCCAGTACTGGTCCTGCGTTGACCTTCTCTGAGCCTCAGTTTCCTCAAATTTGCCATGGGGGTTGGAATTTACCTCCTGTACAGTGCTGTAGGTGGTTCATTCAGCAAGGACCATTTATGGAGCACCAGCTATATGCCAGGCACTGTGCTGGGTGCTGGGGACATGATGGAGATCAGGTAGAGCAGCCTTCCCTGTAGTAGGTTGCTGGTGTCCTCTTGAGCTTGGAAGGAGGGAGAGGAGGCTGTCAGCGCTTAGGTATACAGCAGGCACACCATAAATACCAGATTCTTCCTTGAGCTACTGATAGATTGCACCCCCACCCTCATCCTATCGTCATCCCAACCTCTTAGGACCCTAGAACGGAGAGGCAGCCCACCCCCCTGTTGACCTCCCACCCCCACCTCAGGCTTCCATGTGAGGAACAAGTTAGGGTCAGCCACCTCTAGCTTCTGCCAGTGGTCTCCTCATTGCCTGTGGGCCCACTGGGAGCCTTCCATTTCATTTACCTCTTTCTCTATGAGAGAAGTGTCTCCCTCTGTGTTCTGAGTCTGCTCTCATGCTGGGGACTTCCGCCTTCAGCTCAGTGGTTGGTTTAGCCAACCTGAACCCTGGCTTGATGAGGGGCAGGCACCAGACAGCACAGGGGATTTCACAGTTGAGTTCTGTGGAGGCTCTGGGCTCCCAGAGTAGTAGCCAGCTCTACTAGCTGTGAAATCTCAAGCCTCAGTTTCCTTTTGGCCTCAATTTCTCTATCTGTAAAATGGGGCTAACCTACTCCGTGGGGTGGTTGTGAGCATTGCATCTTTGCTGGGGCCAAGACATAGTAGTGCTTAATAGACAGGAATAAGTGAATCTTAGCTATTATGATTATTCTGCAAAACCTTGGCTCTTTGCCTGCCCAGCATCCTTTCTCTTCCTTCGAGCCATAGCTCCTGACTTCCCTTGGGTTCTTCTCCCCCATCTCAATGTGGTGGGTGTGAGGTATGTTACCTTGTCCTAAGCCACTCTCACATCCCATCCACTGGCTTCAGGGACAGGTTTGGGGATGGACATGTGATCTCACTCAGCCAATGAACTGTGTTGGAGTTTTTGCTGGGTAAATTGAGAGGTAGATTCTTTATCCTCCTCCTCCTTTTTTTCAATAAATGGTGTATATGTATATGGGAGGGGCAGAGAGTGAGGGAGACACAGAATCCAAAGCAGGCTCCAGGCTCTGAGCTGTCAGCACAGAGCCTGACACGGGGCTCGAACTCACAAACTGTGAGATCATGACCTGCGCCAAAGTTAGACGCTGAACCGACTGAGCCACCCAGGGGCCTCACCTCTTCAAGTCTTAATTCACAGGTTAGCCCCTTGGTGAGGCCTGCCCTAACCTGTCTGTTAAAAATCACACACCCATATATCTCTTCTACCCTCTCCTGATTTACTTTACTCCTTAGCACTTGAAACCACCTGCCATACTCCATGGAATACTTGTTTGTTACTTCTCTGTCTCCCCCTGTAAAATGTCACCTCCGTGGGGGAAGAGATTTTCATCTGTGTTGTTCACAGCAGATCTATAGTGCCTGGAACAGAGTGGCATAGAGTAGGTGCTCAGTGCTGAATAAATAGGGAGCCTAAAAGGACCATCTGAAGAGGTAACAGTGTCACTGAGATTTGAATATTTAAGGAGCCAGCTGGGGCACCTGAGTGGCTCAGTTGGTTAAGTGCCAACTTTGGCTGAAGTCGGGATCTTGCGGTTTGTGAGTTCAGTCCTCACGTCGGGCTCTGTGCTAACAGCTCGGAGCCTGGAGCCTGCTTGCAATTCCATGTCTCCCTCTCTCTCTGGCCCCCCTTCTCTGCTTGCGCACGCTCTCTCTCTCAAAAAGAAATAAACATTAAAAAAATAATTAAAAAAAAAAAAAGAAGGAGCCAGCCATTCGATGACCCCCAGGGAAGGGCACAGCATATGGCTGGTGTGGCAAATCAATTCTCTTTTGATTTAAACCGTGCTGGATTACTTATTTATAAGGGGTGTTGAGAGCTGCCCCTGGAGCGTGCAAGGGGATCTCATTGCTTCACTTGGGCATGCAGTCACTAGCACACTCTAGACATGGGGAAAATAGATAATGATGATGACAATAATGGAGAATTTGCTTTGAGACCTCTTTTAATTTTCATAATAGCCCTATGTGGGAGGTACCATTATCATCCCCGTTTCCTATGCGAGGGAATAAGGCACAGAGAGATCAAGTAACTTGCTCAAGCCCCCTGATCTATAAGCAGCAGAACCAGAAAAGAACAAGGAAATAAAAGTCACTCTTGTCTGATCACCCAGGTGATGCTGGGTGGGAGGGGATTCAGGAGAAACCGTGGGGGAGAGGGAACTGTCCTCGCTTTGAGGATCATTGCGCTGAGGTGTAACCCCTCTCTGGCAGGCTGGAGCCTCCCACCACCACATTCCTTTCCGGCCCCCCCCCCGCCCCCCCGCTCCCCCCTGCCCAAATGCCAGAAGTTTCCCAGCAGTGATCTGGTGTCCCTTTAGCTCTGGAGGCCAAGTGTGGCCTGCCTGAAAGTCAGGTGAAACTGACAAAAGGCCCTGCACTGATCTATTTGAAGATTGGAAGGCTTCCTGGAGGAACCCACATTTAATCATGGACCTGGAGGAGGAGTAGGAGTCAGGCAGTTGAGGTGGTGGGGAAGTGAGTTCAGGCTGGGACACTGCAATGGTAAAGGCCTGGAGGCGTGAGAACAAGCCACCAATGTCTTCCGAGGCTCTTTGCATGTGTGGACCCGACCCAAACAAATGCACCCCAATTTTCCCAGCCCACATTTCCATCCGTCATCTGTTTGCTCTTTCCTCTGAACATTCAAAAGACCCGCCTACCTCTCTTGACTCCCTTTTGGCGAAACACATGGCCTTATCTGCAAGCCAATCTCAAACGGAGTCTGAGCACCGCAGGGCCTCTGTAGTTTCAGAAAGCAACCTCTAGGACCCGCAAGGGGCTCGGAGGGCAGCTGAACCAGTGCCACACAGGGACTAGGAGTCCCCTTCTCAGGCCTGACGTCCCCAGAGTCTGGAGGCCCCAAATGCTGCTGCCTTGCAGGTGCTCTGTGTGTAGCCTGCTCACCTTCTAGTCTTTTCCTTCTCCCGTGTCCATCAGTGGGTGGGCTATGGGCCCAGACTGCCCGGGCTTCACTCCTGCCTGGCCATTTGGCCTCTCTGGGCTTCTCTCAACTCGTTTGGAAAATGGATTAAATGGGTTATATGGATTAAATTGTAAACTGCTTGCGATGTTTTCTGGCACGTAGTAAAGGACTCAGTAAGTGCTATTATCACTGCCGATTGTGTGATTCTGATGCCATTATTTCTTCTCTCCTCACTCTGCTGGGGCATTCTTCTCTCCCTCCAGAAAGGATTATCCAGTGTGGAAGCAGATTTTTTTTCTGCATCCTGAGTTTCACGGTGCCTGTGGGGGAAGAGAAATTTTCTAACAAAAACAGTTTGGGGGGAATATATGTAGGAGAAAAGTATCCCAGCCTGGAACCCAGAAACAAAGATTTCTTGAGTGGGGAGAGGGGGATTTAAGGAACTGGGGGGGACAGTAGGGACTGGAGAGAGGTCCTCAGGAAAGAAGGCCTGGGGTGGAGCATAGAGGAACCATGAGGCAGGTTGTGGGGCTGGGCGCACACCCCCCAGGGTGACAGGACCCAGAGAAGAAATGTTCTTGGGGTCTCTTGTGGGTCTAGGATGGCCCCACACCATCCCTGAGGCCATGCTTGTGGACAAGCCACTGAAGACATCCCCATGCATCCAAGAGGGCAAGGAAGTGGTGGGGGAGAGAGCCCCCTGAGGCCTTGCAGCCCCTGGAGGGAGAGAAGAAGAGACGTGGACACCAAGCATGGGCAGTGGCCATGCAGCAAGGAGTAGATGTGAGGTGTGGCCACTCAGTCATCATGGGTGTGGGTGAGTGGGAGGGAAGGGAGGAAAAGAGAATGAGGAGGAGGTTGTGGCCAGAGCAGGAGGTGGTGACCAGCCAGGTGCAGTGTGTGGGGAAGGTTCGAGGTGGGGTGGGCTGGGAGCAGGTGGGCATTGGGAGACACACTGTCTCTGTGTCTTGGTGAAATGACTGACCCCTCTCCGAATCCTTCTGACACCACCCATGTACGTTGGGGCTCCTCT